CCGACACCTGGCACCACGTGGACAGGCCACGAAATACGGTGAGAGGAAAGGACTGTGTTCTGAACGATGCCACCTAAAAGATTGTGCAAGAGGCAAATCGACAAGGACAGGAAGCCGGTGGGGAGGCCGCAGGGGGCCAGGGCTGGGGCGGGAGGACCCGGAGACATTTGAGGGGAGGCAGACTGATCTGATCTTGACCGTGACCCTGGTACTCGACTGATTACAGCCCCCAGAGTCATCGCCTGTACACTTGGAATCGGTACATTTCACTGTGTGCAAACACTTGGAATAACCACCCAACAAGGGGAGGGAAAGGTGGGCCTGACCCGGGAGCACAGACGAGTCTCACCCGAATTCTGCGGAGAGAAGCAGACGCAAGGACGCAGCGCACGACCGTGCCCACCTGATGTTCTAGGACCGGCAAACACATCCCGAGTGACAGCAGATCCAGGGCTGCCTGGGGCGGGCGGGTGACGGCAGCGTCCTCCGTCTGACCGTGCTCTCGTGCCACAGCCCAAGACTCAAGCGGGTGCATCTCACGCCCCTTCTGGGGAGGCACGGACGTCATACCTCAGTCACTCAGACGTAAGAGGGCACCTCAGGGTCTCCCGGGGTTTGGGGGCCACACGTGACACTGCACAGAAATGCCCTGTCCCTGTGCCTGAGACAGGAGAAGCTGAGGGCCAGGGAGCCGGGGAGGCCACCCCCGGAACCTCAGAACAGGCCGGGGCCAGCTCCCCGGGCACGTGTGGGACAGGCACGCTGGCGCCCGCGCCTCCCTCGCGTGCCCTGACTGCTGCCTCCAAAGGGAGGGACCCCCCCCCCGAACCAGGCCAGGGACAAAACGCACCCACTGCTCCCGGGGCCCTCCCAGCAGTTGGGCGGGGATCCATCAGCGTAGACACCCTGGGCCCAGGTCAGGAGGCAGTGAGGGGTGCTTAGGATTGGGATTCGCACGACAGACCTAGCCTTCCCCGTTCTCCGCGGGACCCCCAAGGGGCAGCTGGGCTGCAGGGGGGAGCAGCCCCCCAACAGGCTAGGGGTCTGCCTGTCTGCCGCCATGCTGGGAGTGAGGGGCTGCCCTAGTCAGGGAGGTAGGGTCGGGGGCGGGGGGGGGCGGTGCTGGTTCTGGGGTGAGCAGGACACAAGGGTACCACAGGCCATGGTGGCACTGACCAGGGCCTGGTCCGGGGCAGGGCGCCCACGCTCTGCGTCCTTCTAGGGCTCACAGGAGTCGTCTGCAGCTTCTGCTCGAAGCGGGGGAGACAGGACCCGATCCCAAGCACCGCCAGTGTCTGTTCCCGTGTCCGGGGGCCGGGACAGCGGGCAGACCCGGAGGAGCCGGCCAGCCCGCAGAGGGGAAGAGAGGGCGAGCCCAGGCAGGGCCACCAGCCCGCGGCCACCTGTCCCATCCCGGCACAGCGCCCCGCGGGGCCCCTAACGTGGACATGCCTGGCTAGAGTGTAAGTGCCGAGGAGTGCCTTTGTCTCATCCACAGGGAACGGCGTCTGCCAACAACGATCAAACATCTGCCCGCGCAGAGGAGGGGCTGGGCCCGCGGCGGAAGGCGCCACGGGAAGCCCGGTCCCGGGGCGGCGGCCCCGAACGTGGCTCCTCCCGGCCACCCACGCTCCTCCCGCAGAGGTGGCAGCGATGGGAGAGGGAGCCCTCCCCACCCCCCTGGGCAGCTCACTCTCCCCCACCACCACCGAGCCTCGCTCCCTGGGGCCAGGGGGCAGCCCGTCCTGCCTCACGGGGACCCCAGCCAAGATTAAATAGTTGTTCGAGGTCCTGTTTGCTGCCTGTCTGTCTCCCCGTCTCCCCGTGGGTACAGACGTGCCCAAGGAGTGTGGCCAAGTAGAGGCCGCAAGAGCAGACCCCTTACTGCACTGGGGTGCCCTCGGTGCCCTGCTCACCCTGGAACCAGCACCTATCCCCCCGACCCCGCCGCCCTGACGGGGGCAGCCCCTCGTTCCCAGCAAGGCAAGCAGGCGTGCAGACCCCAGGGGCCTTCGAGCACCTAGAGCTGGAGCAGGGGTTTCCTGAGCCCCGGAGGAGACCCTCCCCCAGCCAGCAGGAGGGACCCAGCGGGCCCTGACGTGGGGAGAGGGCCCCACGGCCAGGAGGGTCCCACCCCCCTCAGGACCCTCCTGGCGCATCAGTCAGTCCTAAGAGCAACAAACAGATCAGAAGACCAACCCAGGGTCCTCGGGGACTAGGAAGTCAGCTGTGGTGTGCCCGCCCCGCGGACGAGAACGCGGGACTCGGAAGGCAGGCGGCAGACGCGTGGGACGGCGGGGCTGCTGGGGCACGGTCAGAGTCAACTCTCTGCCTCTGCCGCACCGAATCCCTGGACGTCCAGGACGGGAGCTGCTGACGGCTCTTGTCAAGGCGGGGGATAGACATGGGGTGACCGTGTGGTGTCCCCCACTTCCCTACACAGAGGCTGCTGGTCAAAAGACCCTTGAGGGTCACTCAGGCCAACCTCTCCCTTGGCATGCGGGGAAGTGAGACCGGGAAGAATGGGCTCCCAAGCGTCCATATGTGGCAGGCATGCACTCTGGGACATCCCTGATCCCACCAGCTCTCGACGGCCCTGCCCCGCCCCGCCCCCGTCCGGACCCCGGACCAGGGGCAGCAGGCTGTCCGGCCGCCCGAGGGGCTGTGAGGATGTCCCCTAACCAGGCCAAGCCAGGGCGAAGAGGGAGCCCGGGGTACAGGCAGCCGGCACCCAAGGGGCAGCCAGCCTTGGGGGACAGGTCCCCATCTCTGCCTGCTTGCCCCCACCGCCCCCTCCCCCACAAACGTCTTCCCAGCGGCCGGTGATGCCCGCGACGTCACTGCCAATAACCCATATTTTAACCCAAAAAACACCCCCCCCCCCCCCCGCCCCACTTATGGTCTCACTGAGGAGAAAACCCAGACTGCAGCGCCCCGGGCCGACTGGAGGCAGGGCTGGTCCCATGCCCGGCCCACCTCTGCCCACCGTCCCTTTCTGTTTCCCAGCTTCCCAGCACCCCATTCTCCTGCCAACAGCCCCCAGGGAGATGGGGGCAAGGGGCTCTGATGGCCGCCGGACTCCCTCCTGTCACCCAAGGCACGGGAGACCCCTGTAGGCACACTGCCCTGGGCCAGGCCTGTGCCCCTGGCATCTTGCCTGAGAGCTAGGGGTGGGGGTGGGGGGGCTGGTGAGACGGCCGGGCCAGAGTCGAGGCAGTGGGGCGGCCCGGCCCCCCAATCCCTACCCTGGCCGTTCCAGGGCCACTGTCCCATTGGCTCCTTGGAAAAGCCAAGGACACAGGTAGGCCACTGCCGTCCAGGTGGAGACAGGGCTCCAGGCTCATCAGGCCGGAAGGGCAGGTGTACTCAGACGGGCCGTCTCAGAGTACCTGCACCCAGAGATGCCAAGGCCTCGTCTTATTTCTTCCTACCCCAAACCTGCCAAGGCCAATGGCCACGTTGGATGGAGACGTTTGGAGGCTGGGCCATCTCCTCAGTGGGGTACCACTGTGGGCCACCAGCGCACAGCCCCCGCCCCGGGACCCTTGGCAGATTCCAGCTCCCTGTGGCGGGCTCTGGGGCTCCACACGGCCCTCACACGGCCCCCTGGGTGGCTGTCGGCCGTGGGCAGAGGGCACCGCACACCGGGCAGGTTCCCAGAGATCTCCCTAAGGCCTGGGCCCAGCGGCCCTCTGAAGGGCCGAACCGAGCTAGCAGGTTTCCAGGTCAAGGTGGTCTTTGCACTAGCGTCCTGTGGGATTCATGCAAACGTAACAACATGCACTTAAATAAAGTAATGACTTCTAGCGAACAACCATCCACCCACAGCCCCTGTAGGGGGCAGGTAGGGGGCAGGGGGGTGCCGAGGGCGGTGCTTCCCTGCTCTCCACGGTGCTAAGAGGAACCCGGCTTGGCCAGGCTGTCCAGTCCTCGGCTGCCCCGGGGGAGCGGCCGTCCCAAGGGCCCTAGCTGGTTGGGACCGCCACCCCCCCCCCCCACTCCCCAGCACTGATCAACAAGTCCCTGCCTGGAAGTGGAGGGGGAGGCTGGTCGGGGGAGCAGCGTTTGCCCCATCAGGCACCAGGACGTGGGGGAACAGAGGGGAGGGAAGAGCCACCACGCGGTCCCTCGGGGCCCCGGTTCTACATCGCCACTTCCCGCTGGTACCACGGGCCCTGCATGCAAATTAGCAGGCAGCGAGCCCAGGCACACGGCCAGTTTTCGGGGAACACGGAAGGCAGGTAGACACCCGATCCGGGGCCCCAAATACCAGACCCTCCGCCCAACAAACCCCAAACAGTCTCCAGGGATGTGATACGGTCTGTCACGCCATGCTGAGTTAGGGCACCTCAGACGCACGGGTCCCCAGTGGGGGAGCACCCCACGAGTGACTTGGGGGGACGTATCTCACTCAGCTCAACAAGCACTTTCTGGCCTGGCCCTTGGTGGCGGACCCGGGGAGGTGGTGACAAATGAGACGCGTTACAAGGGAGTCTCTGGCCTCACTGAAGAGTCACAGGGCAGGTGACACCACACGGGTGGGGAGCCGGCTGAGGTCAAAGGTAATGCAGACGGGCCTGCTGGGGCCTCCAACAGCATCTGGCACTTTGCTGACGGGGCCGCTCGGGCCTCGAGCAGGCGGCGCGCACAGCACTCTGTGAGCCCTCAGCCAGGTCCCTGGTCCGCTGAGGCCCTCGGTCTCCTCGTCTGACGAGCGGGAGACCAAGCCCCATCCCACGTGCTGGACGGCAGCTTCCAGTGGGTGGTCTCTCGGCTTTCCCGCGGCTCCCATGTCGCGTGGCATCGGCTGTCGAGGCCTCAGCTAAGGCCATGAGAGGCTGACCTAGGTCGTGCCCTCCAGCCCATCCAGCCCGGCCCGGCGCGGCGGTCTCCCCGAGGGGTCACAGCCAGGCTGTGAGGGCCCACGGGGCAGGGGGCGGGCCTGCCTCTGCACCCGCACGGGCCCCGGCGGTCCCCCACGGTCCCCCGCGGCGCGTTACCTGCGTAGCTGCCGGTGGCCTTGATGTACATCTGGCCGTACTGCTCCTCCGCCATGGTGTCATAGGCCTCGTCGTCTTCCTCGTCCTCCTCGTTGTGGTACGAGGTGGGGCTGTCGGTGGTGGGCAGGCTGCTGGCCCCCGGACTGGTCCGCTCCCCCTGGGAGTAGGGCACCTGCTGGATGCTGGGGATGAGGGTGGCCAGGCTGGGCACCCCGTAGTAGGAGACCCGGGGCAGCTTGAGGGGGGCCGCGCCCGCCGCCACCGCGGCGCCATCCCGGGGCCCCGTCTCCAGCGGGCGCTTGGGGGCCAGGCCCGGGCCGGCAGCCGGCGGCAGCTCCGTGGCTTCGTGCTTCACGCGGGTCAGCAGCGGGATGGGCACGGAGGGGGACACGACGTAGGGGGGGGCTGCGGGGGCGGCCGGCTGCAGCTGGTTGCAGGGGCTCTGGGGCTCGGAGCTGGCGTCCTCGATCACGGCGGTCTGCGAGTCGCAGTGGGGCGAGCTCACCTTGAACATGAGGTCCGTGCCGCGCTCCACGATGTGCTGGATCTGCAGGAAGCCGGCCGTGTACATGACCACGAGCTGCTCGCTGGCCGCCATGGTCAGCCTGCCCGTGTAGCAGAAGGACAGAATCTGCTGGAAGCAGGCGGGAGGCACAGTGCCCGGCAGCTCGAAGGCGCTCTTACTGTTGCCGCTGAACAGGTCGCGGAAGTACAGGCTGCTGGCGGCCAGGACGGCCCGGTGGGCCTTGAAAGCCTGGCCCTTGACCACGATGGACACATCGCAGTAGAGGCCCAGCAGGCGCTGCTCGTTGAGGCAGCCGAGCACCGTGCTCCCGAAGTTGGGGATCTCGATGTGCAGCAGCTGAGACATGGCGGGCAGGCGCTAGAGGGCTCGCCTCACACTCAGCACGGGAGCGCCCGAGCGGGGCACATCTGTGGGGGAGAGAGGGCGCGGGGACACGCGGGTCAGGCTCCCCGGACGGCCGGGGCCCGCCGGCCAAGGGTACGGAAAGGCACTCGGCCGCTGCGCCCTCCTCCGCCGCGGTCCCAGCCCCGGCCCCGCTCCAGCAGAGCCACCCAGGGGAGGTCCTGGGGCCCCCCCGAGCTCCTCACGGCAGGACCCTGGCTGGGCCTGCAGCCAGCGCTGCACGGGACTCAGAGCCGCACAGCCATGTTCCAGCCGGGGGTGGGGGGGTGGGGGGCAAGGGGGGGGGGGACGCCCCCCCCCCCCCCCCCCCCCCCCCCCCCCCCCCCCCCCCCCCGCTCCTTGCGTGGCTCCCAGAGCCCACCCCCAGGAGAGCGCCTGAGCCCTCGGGGCCCGGGACGCCCCGTCTCGGCAGAAGCCAGGAATGCAAACAGAGGCCTGCACTCAGGGGAGGACGGGGTGGATGGAGGACAGAACACGGAGCAGGGCACTGCCACCCGCGGCGGCTGGGAGGGGTGAGGGCGGCGGGCTGCGTCTGCAAACTCTTCTCCCCAAGAAAAAGTTAGCAGCAAAGGACCCCTCACAGCCCTGCCCCTCGGAGGGGCTGGAGCCCCGAGCGAGGGGGGGGGGGTCTCGCAGGGGGTCTCTCGGAGGCTCTTGGTTTCTGGTTTGTTTTCCTCTTTTCCCTCAGAGCAGCCACACGGAGGGCCCCCAAGGGGGGGGAGTCCCACCCCACTGGCTGAGATGCTGGCCCCTCGTCCCCCTGCAGAGGCGGGCAAGGGGTGGGGGTGGGGGCGCCCAGGGGAGTGAGCTGAAGCCAGAAGTCAGTGGCTGGCCACCCCCACCCCTCCCCCGGGGCCGGCTCCCCAGGCCGCCAGCGCCCGTCAGGGACCCGGCTGGACCAGCGGTCGGGAGTCTGTCGCAACCCCACCTGCCTGCCCTCCTGGTCCCCCAGCTCCCCGTGCCGGCCAATCCCTGCTGGCTCGGCCCCAGCCCAGGTGACTAAAGGGGTCAGGGGGGGAGTCGGGGAGGAGTGGGGGGGGGGGGGGGCCCGGCAGGGGCGGGGGGGCCGCCCCGCCCGCGGGGCCCCCCGGGGGGGGGGGGGGGGGGGGGGGGGCCAGGGCTCCAGCGAGGTTGATCTGACGCCCGATTCAGAGAAGATTCGGAGAAGCCGGGCACGGACCAGGGTGGAGAAGGCGCCGGCCCAACTCTGCACAGCGGCGCCCGCACAAAGGGCCGCTCTGTCCCAAGGGAGGAAAGTGCAGGCGGCCGCAGAGGCGCCGGGCGGCCGGAGGAGGGAGGGCGGAGGGAGGGCGGAGCGCCGGGACCCCAGCGACAGGAGTTGGGCAGATGGGTGGCCGCGGGGAGGGCCCGCAGTGCCCCCGCTGCGGAGAAGTTGCCGGTCGGTCGGCCGTGGCACCGGCCCGCGGGGGAGACCTACCTTTGGCGGCTGCCGCCGGTGGCCCCGGCAGTGCCCGCTCCGCCTGGCAGGGGCAGGCTCGCCAGCTGCTCCGGGAATGCAGCAAACAGAGCGGGAGCCCTTGGGGTGGGGAGGGCGCGAGGAGCCGGGAGAGGAGGAGGAGGAGGAGGAGGAGGAGGAGGAGGAGGAGCAGGGCAGAGAGTCTCGGCGCTGGGCTCGGCGGCCGCAGCTCAGCTGTACCCAGCCCGGCTCTCCGGGGCAGCGCGCAGCATCTAAATGAAGCGGCCGGATGCAGACGGACATTCAAGCAGCTCTCGGGAATGAATAGCGGCCTTTGACTTGGGAGCCCAAGTAAATGCCAGCTCCAGCCCCGGCTTTAAAACCAGTGGAGTGCTGGTGCCAGAGGAATGCACGGCTCCGGGTGTTGGTACAAGACAGACTTTGATGACTCACCACAATGCAAACAAAGATGGCAGAAATACTGTACTGTACGCGGAGAAACGCTCCGTGGTGCCACGGCAACTGAGCGCCGAGATTTATGGTGCGGCTCTGCATGTGAATTACCCAGTAAACTGCCGTCCTGCCATCCAGCACAGCCCGAGTGTCAAAGCATTTCAAGTATTCCAAACAGTCTGCAGGGCTGGCACAGCCACCAACTCCGCCAGGGAGGGAGGGTGGGGGGCCAAGGGGGTGGGGGCCAAGGGGGTAGAGAGAGAAGGGGACAGGGGGGTGGGGGATGAGGGGGGGCGGAGGGCTGGGGTCGTGGGGGCTGGGGGGTCGGGCGGTGGGGGACGAGGGGGCAGGGAGCCGGGGACAGGAGGATGAGGGTGTGGGGGCACAGGGGGGCGTAGAGGGCGGGGAGGCTAGGAGGAAGGGGGGCGACGGGGTGGCACAGGCAGGGCAGAGGGTGAAGGTGGGGAGCCCGGGAGGAAAGAGGGGCAGGTGATGAGAACAGGGAGGCAGGAAGGAAAGCAAAGGTGGGAGAAGGGGCCCAGACACCGGGAAGGCGGGGCGAGGACGAGGCCCAGCCTCCCCCAGTGCCCCCACAGGGCTCCGCAGTGGCCCCTGCTCGCCTCCCTACTTCTCCCTGGGGTCCGGAAGCAGCAGGGCCCGCTTGTGCAGCCCTACACCCCATCCCACTCACCCAGGAAAGTCACCCTGTCCCCCAAGCCCCCACGCGGGTCTTTTCAAGAAGAACAACTCTGTGAGTGCAGCTGGGCCAGGCCGAGGGGGCCCCTCCCAGCAGCCGGGCAGCAAAGCCACCACCTGCAAGGGTGCCCGTGTGAAGGAGGCTGGGCTCCTCCCCCCGGGCCTCCCTTGGGAGGGGAGGCTGTGCTGTGCACACGGCCCGTCCTGTTCCAGGCCCACACCCCCGCCTGTGGCAAACCACTGGCCCGCCCTGCCTCGGTCTCCCCTCTCGCCCCCAACCGCGGCCCTGGGAAGAACACACACAGCCTGCAAAAGGGAAGACGGTCGAGACGGGTGACGGCACGGCTGCCACCACCGAGAACCTAACCCTGGCGGCCGGAGCGGGAGGGGCCGGGGCACAGGCAGCGGCCCTCCCACCGCCCCCTCCACGGCAGCGGCGTGTCCGGAGGGAGAGAAAAGGGCCATCTGGCGCGTCCGCGCTCACATGCGGCGGGCTCAGCTTCCCACAGCAGATAAAACGCTGCGGGAGGAACGGCACAGGAAGAAATACAGGTGTGGGGAGGCCTCCCAGCAGCAGTGGCTGCCGGGCTCCTCCGTGGGACGGATGGCGACTCGGCGTGGCGGCCACGTGAGCGCTGAGCTTGGAGCGTCGGCAGAAATGGCCCCCACTCGCTGCTCCGACGGGGGACTTGGCCCTCGTCCCCCTGGCGATGGAGCCAGTCCGGACCCCGGGCCCTCGCTCTCCTCTACCTGGAGGGTGTCGAAGCAGCAAGTCCGGGGGAGGGGGCGGCGCGGGTGGCCCGGTCAACAGCAGACAGGCCTCAGGGCAAGGGTCTCGCGCTCCGCACAGCCTGGCCCCGCTGCCCTGGGGAAGCTGCCTGGGGGTCCACGCGGACGCCTGTGTCCTCACAACCCCGGGCGGCGGTGGGACAGCCTCGCCGGCATCCAGACCCAGAAGGACAGACCCAGGGTCGCCCCCGCCAGGAGCCAGGCCAGGCCTCCCGACTGGACTGTGCTGTGCTGTCCTGGCAGCCTCCTTGTCTTGGGGCCTAGGAGGAGCCCACTGGCCCCAAGATGAGGGGGCTGGGGGCACAACCCCCCACGTGCCACCCGGCCACAAAAGAAAGCAGACCGGGGCACCGGCAGAGCCGACATGGGGAAACAGAGGGCCACCCAGAGGCCAAAGGATGGCGGGACCCGTGATGGGGGGCGGGGCAGGGCCACTCCCGGCCTGGGTGCTGGCCTTGGGCCCCAGGGCCCAGCATACGCAGCCTCCACCGGTTCTGCAGGAGCAATCCCCCCGCCCCCATCGCTGGCTGTGCTGCGTCCCGGCCCTGCCTGGAACAGACCTGTTGTCACCTCCTCAGAGAAGCCTGCCAAGGGTGTCTCTTGACCTGAGCAAGGTCGGGGCGGGGGGAGGTGGGGAGCGGGGGGGGGTGTCTGCCCACTGCCTGTTGGACATTTAGCCCAATGCTGGGCACGCCAGGGAGGGCCACGAGAGTGGGGCTGTGCTGGCCAGCAATACACCACAGAGGAGAGGGGCCCTCCAAATGGCCCCTTCACAGACCCACAGCACCCACTGCCAGGCGTCTCCTGGAGAGCAAGATGGGGTCCCCTGAGCCAGATGAGGGCTCTAGGGCCGTGAGAGGGGTGAGTCAGCCTGGCCAGCAAAGGTACACTGTGCATCGGTGCCCAGAGGGCCCCAGTGGCCTGGGGCTGGGCCAGCCAGTGGCCAGGTCCCAAAGTGAGGGCAGGGACACCAAGAGGCCCTCGGAGCCTGTCCCTCCAAGCATCAGGTCCTGGCTGGTCAGCAGGGCTGCAATCCTGGGTCCCACCGGGCAATGCCCTCTCCCCCCCCCCCCCCCCCCGCCTCCCACAAGCCCGGCCCTGCTGCTCTCCTATCCGTGTCCTGTGGCCTCAAGCAAATGGCACCACATCTGGGACGCTCATCTGTCCCCTGGGGGTCAGGTTTACGCTTTGACGGTCACTACAGGGTCGAGGCGGACGGCGAACGTGGCATGCCCTATGCCCCAGTAACCTGCATCACAGTGCCGTTACCGGCGGTGACTGGGACAGGAGGCGGTGGTCCAGATGGGTGCCTCCGTCAGCCCCCAGCCCGTCCCCGCCCACACCTGTGCCCCAGGGCTGGGGGCCAGACCGCTGGCCCGGAGAGGGGACCATTCCTCCTCTGGAAGGTGATGAGGCCATCGGGTCCCGGGGGACGTGTGTCCTCAGGCCACCTGCACAGGCCAAGCTGCCATCCCACGGCCCAGCCCAGGACAGCCCCACAAGAGCTGGTTTTAGATTGCTTTCTTAGAAGCCTTGGCCGGGACAAGAACAAAGCCGAACTTTAGGAGACAAGAATCAAATAAAGGCTTGGTTTACGTGCCTAGACCCGTCAAAGCAGGGCAGGTCAAGGGCCGACCCTGTGCGGTGTGGCCAGAGAGGAGGGGCCGGGACCCGAGTGGGCCGAGGGCAGCGGGCACCAGCCCCACCGAGACCGCCTTTCCCCTTCCACGCCTCGGTTTCCCCCACCACAGCGAGACTCGCCATGCCCACTGGCCTATTACTGAAGGTTCTGAAGAGCCAGAAGGAATGGCAGAAATTTCTAACTGTGCTCACTGTGGCCATCCTCAAAGCCGCTGCACCACGGAACCCCGCCCCCTCCTCACGACCTTCAGGACGGAACCCACTTTGGGAAATCCCGAAGCCAGAGTCCAGCTGTGCCAGCCTCGGGGGCCCCCACCCCATTCAGACTCCACGACCTCCCCCCGGAATGAGAAAATGTGGGTAGCGAGGCGGTGGGTCTCTTCACCGCAGACCCTCCTTCAGGGAGAGCCAGGATCTAGGACCCAGGGTCACAGGGGTCCTCCCGGCCCCCCACGGGCAGCGCGGCCAGCAGGTGCACAGGGAAGGAGCCCAACGAGAAGGGGGTGAGGGTACTGGCCCCAGGAGCCGCAGACAGGTGCCCACACAGGTACCGAGGGACTGGCCGCAGGGTGTGCGCCCCAGGGCCTGGGCAGGATGCAGACGGGGCACAGGTTCTCGGCTGCAGCCAGGCCAAGGCCGGCCACGCAGGGCTCTAGGTGCACCTGGGGAAGCAGGGGCTCCAACAGGTACTGGGAACACGCCGAGGACTTCTCCTGGGGGCCCAGAGGACCAGAGAAGGATGGGCATTCCAAGCAGGGGTGCCTCCTCCCCAGGACCCCACGCAGGTATGGCTGCAAGGTCTGGGGGTCCTTGTCAGAAGCCCCCGCCCCCCCCACCGGCCCCCCAGATCCCGAGGAGCTTCCTGAGGTGGGACAATGCAGCGGCTACCTTCTGTAGGGTCACCGCCAGCCCAGGAAGGAGAGGCGAGATAAATGATAAATGAAATTAAATAAGATCATTGGGCAGGATTTAATTCTTCCAATCTAATAAGAGGTCTGGGCCTCGGCAAACGCACAGCTATCAAATACGCCCGTGGCAGGGAGGCGGGGAGGCAGGTGCCCCAGGAAACAAAGGAGCCCCTTCTGCCTCCCTGCTTCCCCTGCCCCGAGCGAGCACCAGGCCCGTCCCCGGGGCAGCCCCTCGGCCAGGCCGCCAAGCCCTGCCATCCGGGGTTCTCCCGGCTCAGCAACGGGGACACCTCCTGAAAGTCAAGGTGCTCCGAGTTTGGTGGGGGCGGGGCAGGCCGCAGCCCCAGGACAGTGCCTCACCGGGAGGCAGGCAAGTTAGCCCGTGAGTCAGCGCGCACACGTGAGCGCTGGGGGGGGGGGGGGGGGGGAC